AAAACAGAAAACTGCTAGTACATTTCACAAATAATTATGAAGACACAGCAAATTACACATTGAATAAACATGACATTTTGAAATAGAAAGACTGTGAAATAGTATTTTCTTGTAAAACATACTCCAATAATCTTTGTTTTGTTTACAACTTCCAAAAATATTTTTTACAGTGTACCAGTGTTTTTATTGTTGACTAAAACTAAAAGTTGTTTTCTGCAATTGAAATAAAGCTGAAATAAAACAAAATAAAATAAATAAATAAACATTACATTAAAAAAAAAAACGTAAAATTTGAACTTACTAAACTTTAAAAACTAGAAATGTTGCTTTGGCAACTAAACAAAATAAGTTTAAGTCATAGTACTAGAATTACTCTAAAACTACAACTTAAATAAAAAAAATTAATTACAGCTATAAAAAAAATTATAATAATAAAAATGATAAAAGCACACAACAAAATTGTCCTAAAAGGAAAACAAAAAAAATATAAAAATTAAATCTAATACCAAATATTAAGTATACAAATAATACTAAAATAAGAATGCATTGGTCTTTTGGACATATATGCTTTGAATAAATCAGTAATCATCATTGTGGCCTCTTACTGTAATTTTGCCCAGGTCAATGCCGTAGTTGAGAGAGTTCCAGGCACATTGCTTGTAGTTGGGTTTCCACGGCTCTTCAAACCTCTCCGTCACACATTCACCCTTCTCTCCTTTTGCACCATCCCGGCCTGGTAGACCGGGAGTACCTGGAATTCCGTTCACTCCTGGATTTCCGTCCCTTCCCGGGGTGCCTGCTGGACCCTGGAGGCAGCTGGAATACTGAAAACATACAGGATTCAACAGGAGCTTGATATTTTTGGCTTGATATTAAACAGCATATTTTGTAGCTTGAAGTGCCTGTAAGAGGTATTAACAATCTCATCTAACACTAGTCAGCGTAATGCATCTGGAATGAGCTCTTATGGTGTGGTCTCTGGTTACTGATGAAAATACCATGCTATGGCTAATACTTAATATTTTTGCACAATGTTGCTAATGGGCATGGAGAAGTAGCCTATACTGGGACACTGCCTGCATTAAACCTGGTTGGATGGAGACTGAATCATCTGTCCATTCAGACTGTAACACACGGTTCTTTATTACTGTGATTCATTATCAGTTGTTCACAGAGTCTCAGATAAACGGCTTAAACGCGGATACGGCATTCTTTGACAGTATGGGAAACTTAAACATGTCTGTGAAGTTTCAGCTCAAAATACCCCACAGATCATTTATTATATCATTTTGAAGCATGCTGTTTTCGTGCATGTCTCTTTAAATGCAAATGAGCTGCTGCTCCCCGCCCCCTTTTCCAGAATAGGACAGTGCCATTACAGCTAGTATCTCAGATCTCAAAAAACATCGGTTTGGTTTTGATAATCATGTATCTCGCACTGAAATCATGCGTTTTAAAGCCATATCAGTTTAAACTTCTAATAATATAAGGTTTTATGAGCGCACACATGCGAAGCAAACACACAGAAAGCGGATGTCACATGGATCAACTTGAACCTTCAGATTGCATCAAGCCTCTTTCAGACAGACGCGACGTGCAAGTATCAGACTTAGTCTTATTAACTGATACCTTAGGCATCATTTGTACCTTTTTACAAAGGTGTGTTTGAACTAAGAATCTGATGTTCCCTTCAGGCTGTTAAACATGCATAAGCTACAAACACACAATCGGTTATGTCTGTGAAGTTAAACAGCTGGGAAAGAAATCACATGTTTATATTAGATCTGTGTATTAAGTGACAGCAGCATAATATACTGTACCTATACTGCTGTCTGCATTGTTAATATGACCCAAACAATAAAAGCAGAAAATCACTCACTGCTCTGGACTGAACAACTTCTATAACTGTAATAAGATGACATTTCTTACTTGAATGCTGGTCTTAAAGTCCGCATGAAATCAAAATGAACAATATTTGTTTTGTTAGTGCACATCGTTAGTCTTAAAGGGATAGTTCACTCAAAAATGAAAATTCTGTCATTAATTACTCACCCTCATGTCGTTCCAAACCCGTAAGATCTTCGTTCATATTTGGAACACAAATTAAGATATTTTTGATGAAATCAGAGAGCTCTCTGACCCTCCCATACAACTGTAATGTTCCCAGGTCCAGAAACGTAGTGAGGACATCGGTAAAACAGTCCATGTGACATCAGTGGCTCAACTTAAATTTTGCGAAGCTACGAGAATACTTTTTGTGCGCAAAGAAAACAAAAATAACAATTTATTCAACAATTCTTCTCCACCGAGTTACGTCTTCTGCCATTTTGGAGAGTATCCAAGAACGTATTCGACGTAATCAGCGTTGTTTACGTTGGGGGGAAAGCGCGCGCATGAACGTAATCTGCGTAATCAGCGTTGTTTACACTTAGGTATACTCTCTAAAATGGCAGAAGACGGTAACTCGGGGGAATTGAATAAAGTCTTTTTTTTTTTCTTTGCGCACAAAAAGTATTCTCGTAGCTTCGCAAAATTGAAGTTAAAACATTGATGTCACATGAACTGTTTTACCGATGTCCTTACTATGTTTCTGGACCTGGGAATATTACAGTTGCGTTGCTGTCTATGGGAGGGTTAGAGAGCTCTGCGATTTCATCAAAAATATCTTAATTTGTGTTCTGAAGATGAACGAAGGTCTTACGGGTTTGGAACGACATGAGGGTGAGTAATTAATGACAGCATTTTCATTTTGGGGTGAACTAACCCTTTAATGTGAACAATTTATCTGTGCAAGTTAATCCTCTGAAAAAAATTGTTTGTCTTGGTAATCTTTAATCAAATTCTGATCATTTGCTTCTGCTCTGGAATGGCGCTCCTGCTCTGGCTTGGGCAGAATTTGCTTAACCTCGCCCCTCCAACTGTTAGTTTGCTGCGAGAGAAAGATGAGAGGAGGAGCGCTAAAATAAACCCCGCCCTCTACTCAATATTCCGTTTCAGTTGGAAATATGTCACCATACTGAAATAAAGTCGGCAGCAACTTCCGGTTCACGCAGACTTTAAAGGGGTCATATGATGCTGCTAAAAAGAACATTATTTTGTGTATTTGGTGTAATGAAATGTGTTTAACTCCTTCTTTCTTTGTGTGAACATTTGGGCGGTGTTATGCAAATCTTCCCACATAGTGTGGTAGATATGTGGGGGCGTGTTCGAACGAGCCGTTTTAGGTAGGTGTGGCTAACTCTTAACTTTTATAAAGAATATCTCTTTGGATTTGAGACTTTAGTCTTTGCAACTTTACAGATCTTCTTTATGCACCAAGAGCTTGTAACACTCTAAAGAGAAAGGAAAAAATGAAATCGCATCATATGACCCCTTTAAATGCTGTAGCGTAAAGATAAACATGGCGGATTATGTGCAGCTCACTCAGGACGGGGTCTCTGCTAATACAGCAGTGTCAGTCAACAGTCGTGGGTGGGGCTTACAAGTGTGGACAAGTGTAATGACAAATTTGTATAATAAAAGGAAGAATAAGCCTATACTTAGTCTCTTACTAACCTGATTAACCAAGAAAAACGCCCTAGTACAAATTAATAAAATAACATAGTATTTCATATTTAATGGAATTTGATGATTTGTTAATTGCGTTTAATTACACTTTCAATAAAACATTCACAATTTTTATGCATGTTCAAGCTTAGTTTGCGTTAAATTTACACCATTTTGACCAGAAGGCGTAACCAGCGCGTAGCACTTCAAGCGATTCGAAAAGTGATCATTTCATGAAGCAATTAGTTCAGTTGATTCAAAGTTTCGAAAAGCTTCGTTTTTAGGGTATGTTTACACTTGGCAGGTTTGGTTTGATTAAATTGAACTTTGTAAAGGATATTTAGGTTCAGTGTTAAAAATGACAGTGTAAACGGCAACGCTAAGCGCACTAGGACTAAATGTAGTCGAAAATGTTCTTTTTATTTTTTGGTCTGGAACAAAAGAACCAAGAGAACTGAACTACAAGTTTAGTTTTGCAAAACGTAGGCTTATTATCTAAATAGCCAACCCAAGACAAAACTGCAAGTCTGATCATTTAGAAAAGTAATAGCACAACACCCCTCAACAAGCCATGCTGTTATTTTTGTTAACTATCTAAAAACTAAAACTATTACAATTTAAATAAAGCCGAAAAAAAAAAAACATTAAACTTTTGCATTGGCATCTAACTGATTAAAATAAGTCTAAGTTGAAGTACTAAAAATGACTAAAATAAAACTAAAAAGTAAATTAGAAATATAATAGAAATATATAAAAAATCGAAATATTAAAAATACTAAAAATTTCAAAAGCACAGAACATTACTAAAATTACAATTCAAATGAAAATTGAACATGAAAATAAAAGCTTACTCAAAATATTACAATAGCATATAAATAATAGGCTACTAAAATATGGGGCAGGGGAGGCTAGGTGGCACTAACCGCTTAATACTAGCCTTAACAAATGCACTAACAGTCCAAATATGATATTATGTTATGCATGCATTTGATCTTCTACCAGAACTGGGGAAAACAACGTATTAACGCTGCAGAGCCTGTGTGAGCAAAAATGCATTTTAATGAACATTCACTGAGGAGGTGTAGACTTATGCCAACGCCACTGATGGATGAGAAACTTCGCCAAAATGCCAGGTGGAACAAGCAGCGGGCTCTCCGATCATGCAGAAAAAGCGCATGCATAATAGGCTATTTAGAGTTTTGTGCAAATGCGCGCACATTAGCGAAGCAGTGACACACCAAACATTTACATCTCAATAAGAAAGCGGCTTCCGAGCGCACGGGTCGAATATGAAGCGATGTCGTCGCCGTAACCCAACCTCGTCTAGCGCGAACAATACACGGCTCTGAGCGCAGGAGGTCTGGCTTTAGCATTAAGCAGCTCTGCTGTCACCTGAGTCTCTTCTACAAGAATAAGCCTAATGCAGCCACCAAATACACAAAATAATGTTCTTTTTAGCAGCATCATATGACCCCTTTAATTTCACTGATTACAGTTTATGATAAAACATCCTAACTAATTTGTCGTAGCCTGTAACCTTTCCTGAAATAAAGCGGGAGCTAGTCAACGCCTTGTTGTTTATGCTAGGCCATGTTGGTGGGACAAAGTTGTTATAAAGTCATTTTGAGAGCATGAAGTATATTAACTTTGATTATAGACATGGCTAGTAACAATATGTCTCAAAACTTTATTATAATAACCTAGATAAGTCTGCTTATTCATTAAAACAAATTTGTAGAAAGTTAGCATTATAGTCTATCACTTGCTAACCAATAGATCCTCTGCAGTGAATGGGTGCCATCAGAATGAGCGTCCAAACAGCTGATAAAAACATCACAATAATACACAAGTAATCCACACCACACCAATCCATCAGTTAACATCGGGTGAAGTGAAAAGCTGTGTGTTAGTAAGAAACAAATCCCATCAAGACGTTTTAACCTAAAACTGTCGCTTCTGGCCAAAATACAAGTCCATAATCCAAAATAATGCTTCCTCCAGTCAAAAAGTCAATTCCCTGTTGTCTTCTTACATCAAAATCCACCAGCATACTATATTAGTTTAGAACTGTTTTTGACTGTTTTCACATATTATAACATCTTGATGGATTATTTCTTTTTAATTATAAACACACAGTTTTTCCATTTCACTAGACTTTCATGGACTGGAGTGGTGTGGATTACTTGTGGATTATTGTGATGATTTTATCAGCTGTTTGGACTCTCATTCTGACGGCACCCATTCACTGCAGAGGATCCATTGGTGAACAAGGTATGTAACGCTAAATTTCTCCAAATCTTTTCTGATGAAAAAAAAACAAAAACAAAACTCATGTACATCTTGGCTGGCCTGAGGGTGAGCACATTTTCATTTTTGGGTGAACTATTCCTTTAAGCCATGTTATTGTTAACCAAAAAAAGAAGAAGAAAAGAAACTGAAATAAAAAGTAAAACTATATTGAAATGTAAAAAAATGATAAAAAGTACTATAAAAGCACATAAGAAAATGACCAAAAATAAAACTAAAATATAAAAATAAAAGCTAATTAAGAACATTAATAAATGCAACAATAGTACTGTATATAAATAATAGTAAAATAACAGAAACAGACTATACAAACAGAGATATACATGAATGCTTGGCTAAAATTTTGCGAGCGTTTTGCACACCTGTTGATCATTGTTAAAATCAACATGAAATGCCGTTGGGGAAAGCTTAAATCATAAAAGTGGTGTCAATGCATTGATGAATGGGAAGAGCTTAACAAGTAAGAGGCGTTGATGACATCAGCTGAAGCGAGGTGGAGCAAGTTGTAACATTTTGATAAATTATTGCAAAAACAAACATTTAGTTGATTGAAATAACGTACACTGACGAATCATTCACAATGAGACTAAGAACTTGCATTAAAAACTAATTGACAATAAAATAAACGCAATGACTTATGAATATGAATGAATATGGCCTTGTATTACTGAGGCGTTAACAAACTTCAGTACTCGAGGGGGCGCTAGAGTCACACACCATTGTGCTAATGGCTGCTATACCCCTGAGAATTGCAATACTTGCATCTTATTACAAATTGTGGTTGGACGGATTGGGCATTCCAACAAAACTTGAAATTAAGCAATTGTATATAGAGGTTTTGACATTCACTTTCTTGAATATGTTTCAGGCCTTATAAAGATCAATCACATCTCTACACAGTCTTAAAAGGGCAACATGATTCTACACCTCGTAGAATGAATAACTTTAAGTCTTGTTATGGCTTGCTGTAGCTTGAGAACTGGAATATCAGACACACATGGATTGCTGGTTATGTCTGGGCTATTCAAAGTTAATTTTGGCTTACTAATAAAAATGCAGATGGTTCCACTGGCAAGATTGTTGAATAAAATTATGCAAAAGATGAATATCAAATTTGTCTTGAATTGGACCTCAGGAGATTTCAAAGCAATCAAGGAATGAAATGAGGCGAGGAATTTTTAACAGCCAACAGCTGTATATTCAATTGACTTTGATGACGAGAGACAGAGACGATCCCTGCGTTCCATTCGGAAGGGCTCATCCCTATGCCCTAATCCCTTCAAAGGGTTTACCCTCCGGAGTGAGAGCTTCGAAGGGTTGAAGGGTGTAGAGGACCAAACAACTTGAAGTGCCCTTCTGCATCACCATCACGTGCCCACACGGAGGCGCTGTCATCATGCAAAGAATCTGCGCAAAGGATCATGGGAGCACGAAGTGTCCATCAGTTGTACCCTTCGAAATCCTTAATTCCGAAGAGCCCTTTGAAGTGGCCAGTTTTGAGCACTTCGGTTTGGAACGACCCTTCAATATGGCGGCCATGATAGTTTTCACTCCGAAGTGCCCTTCGGAGGGCGATATATCCCATTTGGAACGCACCGGATGTTCGAACTTGAATACTAGCATACTGCATACTGTGCATTCTATTAAAAAAATATGCGAAACTGAGTGTGTAACATTTTGGTGATCTTTTAAGTTTATTTTGCAATTAAAAAAAAAGAGTCAAAACTCTAAAATTGCAGCTAAAGTTAAGTTAAGGAATAGTTCACTCAATAATTTAATTTTGCTGAACTTCATAAGACATTAATTAATGGTCTGGAGTGGTGTGGATTACTTGTGGATTATTGTGATGTTTTTATCAGCTGTTTGGACTCTCATTCTGACGGCACCCATTCACTGCAGAGTGATGTAGTGATGTAATGCTACATTTCTCCAAATCCGTTACAATGAAGAAACAAACTCATCTACTTCTTGGATGGCCAGAGGGTGAGTACGTTTTCAGCAAATTTTCAATTTTGGGTGAACTATATTAAGTCAAACACAGTGCATTGCAGAATTATTCTATGCTGCAAAGCATAGGTATCATATTGGGTGCATACAGAAAAATTGCACACAATGAGCAGTATACAGTATGCATATTTCAGAAAGAGTTACCTAGTCTGGCCTGAAATAATCACTAATAGCGAAACAGACTAACATGTTTCAGCAGTTGTAAATTTCAGTGCTATAAGAGTTGTTACTCCCAATAAAGAAACACAATTCTGGTTAGTTCCCTGCAAACTGTTCACACTTATTGGGCTCTGAACAGAGTTTAAACAGCTTTGTCACATCCTTTTTAGCAATCAATCCATTGTTACCGCTTGGTTAACTGGTCCCTGTGACTCATTCTTCTCACATCTGCAAAAATGAATCTGGCATTGTTCAATATTGGCAAAGGCTTTAGACAATAAGAAAAAACTTGCACTGTCTGCAGGAAATCACAGTTACAGTATTGATTTCTTGAAGAGACAGAATCAGCATCAGCCAGCATAGCCAATTATTTTATAGCCACTCATACTGCACACTTAAAACTGAAGTGGTTGATTTGATGACCTCTTTCAGACAGTTCAAAATAAAACCAAGAGTTTCTAGAACTTCTGCAAAGAGGACCAACTTTCCTATTTGAAAAAGCAAAGAGCAGATTAGACCTCTTTAATGATTGTTTTAGAGAAAAAATTGAAATAAAAGCCCCCAGAAATCTCACATTTCTCCTTTAGATGTTCAAGAGAGCTCTCAAACTGTACAAAGTTTGCAATCAAAAGTCATTAATCTCAGTATGATCTCAAACATTTTTCATCAAATTATTCCAAAAATAGATGATCTGAGGCGCTATGCACATTCATTTTTAGCTCTATACTCTTCAAAGTCAACACTGACTGGAATTTTATGAGAAACATCTTAATACGGTAATTAAGTGAAACATAATTTAGTCTCCAGAGCAATTAAAGTTTCCTATGGGTTTAAATACATTACATAAATACACAAAAAATTACATATAAAGTTATCTTGCCCTTTGAAGATCATGTTTTGCAAGAGTGGCAAAAATAATTCAATAAATACTTAAAGTCTTACTTTCTCCATGTAGTCAACATCCTTCTGGCGCAGACCTCTGGTTTTTAATTTTTCTGCTTCATAACACGTAAACAATAAGCAGGAGATGATCAATACTCGTGTCTTGAAGTGTCCCATATTTGAGCTGAGAGGTTAGAGAAGACAGGGCTGCTTACGGCTGATGTGATCTCTCCAGGGACCAATTATTCCCAGACCGCCGGTGAAACTTCCCTCCACATGAAGAATCGGATTATAATGGGTCATGATATGACATAAAACAAGAATCAATATTTCTGATGGTCTTATGAGTGGTTTCTCAGAATCTACTGATGTTTTGCACAGGTGAGATGACCTCTCACCCTGAGCTTTTTTTTTTTTTTGTCTTTTCTCCTCATCCAATTATGTTGTAACAGTCTTTTTCTGTGTCTCAGAGCGCTCTGAAAAACTGTTTTTGTCCCAGCTGAAAATGTTGCATTTAAAGGGATAGTTCACCCACAGCTAACAATCCTGCCATTGTTTACTCTCCCTGATGACTGTCCAAGTCTGGAATTTTTTTCATCCATTGAAAATAACAGCAAGTAATTTGCTGAGTTCATGGTGCTCTTGCCCATGCAGCAAAGGAGAAATCACTATAAAAGTACCATAAAAGCAGTCGTTGAACAGATTCTAAAAATGAAATTATTGTGATCCTGGAGAAGAGTACTGTTAGGTACACCTCTGCACTTTGGAGGCACTGGAGAAAGTGCTTATATGGACCTTAGATGTAAATTATTTTCTTGTTATTTGTTGTTGTTGTTATTCATGTTGTATGTTGTTTTTTGTATGCTGTTTTATTTTATATGGACCTTTTTGAGTCTGAAATAAAGATATCATTCATTCATTCATTCAGTCCTGTGCACTGTATTCATGAAATCAATATTCAATAAACCAATATTTACGGAAAACAGATGAAAAAAGGAAATGAAATTAAAATAATTCAATAGTGCAACCAAAAAAAAACAAACAAAAAAAAACTTTAAATCTCAATTTGCATTTGCATACATTTAAATATGCCATGCAAATGTGGTTTGAGAGTTTTAGTGGGTGAGTAAGATTTAAATAAAACATTTTCCCTGTATAATTTCATATTTGCAGGGTTGATTTTTTTAAGGTGTGCCGAGTGTCTCTAAAGCTCACAACATGAGCACATTTCATAATAACTTTTTGATTGCTTCAGTTTTCAGCGAATGTTCTCCCAAAATAGGCTGATGTCCTCTGATAATCAAGCATTTTTTCTTCATTTTTCCCATAGGGAAGTATTTTAAAAGTGTAAGGAAACAGACTCAATTAAACAAATTCACTGTGCTTGTTTTGGTGTGATTTGCTTGCTGCTTTTTTCCCCATGGTGCCGATTTTTCGCATAATCACGGGAAATGTAGTTTTTCACCAGTAATTCTGCTGTTAAACATGATTTTGAGTTAATGGCTTCAACAGAAGCATATACCATCGATTAACAACCTCATAGCTCACAGTAGGTCAGTCTTTAATGGTTTGTACGTTACTGTTAAAAATCAATTCCCCTATGGAGAAAATGAATGGGATTTTTACTCCTGGAACAAGATTGTAGTAATTTTGTTCTTTTTAAACACTATAAACTGTCAATATGTGACCCCTGGAAAAGAATTGGAAAATTCCAATTCCTAGTTCCACCCTAAAATATATACTTGAAATGACACGAGGGTGAGCAAATAATGACAGAATTACCATTTTTTGGACTTGATATCTACACTCAAATCTTAGAACCTCCATCTGATGCTGCATATACTGGCCAACTGAGATGTTAGCAAGTTAGATTTCCCTTCAACTTCACATCTAAAACAAGCACCCCATTCAATATTCCCATCTCCCTCCATTTTTCCCGAACGCCAGCCCCCTGGCGACATCCCAAGGCCGGAGAAGAAGCAGATCTGTGTGCTTACTGTACAGAGCGGCGTTTCTCTGACGGAGGTCTTCCTCTCTGCTGAATCGGCTCTTTCTCCTCGCATCACAGCCGTCCATTCATCGCTCTGTCGAGACACTGTAAATACGAACAGTTTTGTATTTTTCAAATCATGGATTTAAGCTGCACTATTAAGTAAACTTTCCGCTGTGTGACTGGCCAGCTATTGCGGCCCATGGACGAGGGTCTTCTAGTAATATTTTCTAAGCTTCATTGTTCATTTTGTGCTGTATGTGGTGACTTATACATGCGCCCTGAAGGGTCTGTCAGGCTGGAGTGTTTGTTTTCAGGCCAAGTATTGAGTGATGAAGAGCTGCTCAATGAACTGCAGGCCGCTGACGGTGGGTGGGCTGGCTAGTCTTTCAAGAACAGGGCTGGTAACTTAAAGGTTGTAGGTCAAATCCTGCAAGGAGAATCACTTACTTATTTTTTAATGGACAGGCAGAAATTGGGATAACAGAGTCTATACATGCTGTCTGTGAGTTTTCTGTGCTAGTGTATTTTTGTGGTGTCATCTATTTTAGACAAACCCCTAAATGGCACATAAAAAGATTGCATGATTTGTCAATAAGATAATGGGCAGTTTGGACCAGGACCAAGCTTAATAATAATAATAATAATAATAATAAATGTGTCATTAGTAAGCATGGATAAAGCATCAGCTACAATTCTTCAAAATTTGCCTCATAAATTTTGCCCTTATGCTCACCAAGGCTGCATTTATTTGATTACAAATTACAGTAAAAACATTAATAATGTGAAATATTATTACAATTTAAAATCAGGGAACTCTATTTAAATATATATTCGAATGTAATTTATTCCTGTGATCAAAGCTGAATTTTCAGCATCATTACTCCAGTCTTCAGTGTCACATGATCCTTCAGAAATCATGCTAATATGCTGATTTGCTGACATTTCTGATTATTATCAATGTTGTCTTGTTTCATATTTTTGTCAAAACCATGATATAATAAAAAGTTCAAAAGAACAGCATTTATTTGAAATATAAATCTTTTGTAACATTATAAATGCCTTGTTCCTTTTGATCAATTTAACGTTTCCTTGCCGAATAAAAGCATTAATTTCTTTTGGAAAAGAAAAAGTAAGGTAGTAGTGTATGTTAAAAGTAAGTTAATTTCCGAGAGAAAATATTGATAATATGAATAAATATTAAAATAAATCATATCATATAATTATAATTTCATTTTTATTATTATAAAAATGAATAAATATTGATTTAAATACTTGAATGTTTAGGTCAAGTGACTTGGTATAAAGATTTTGGCATCTTATTTCATTGTTCACAATTGACTTCAATCTATTCAATCTAATTTTTTTTTACGATCTCATTAATTCCCACTCTTCTTGTTGAATATCACTCACGAGTACATGCGATTACTGAAGTTGAGAACATCATTTCACACAGGCTTTCAGAGATTAGGAGGGTTAGTTAAACTCCTCTTCTGCATTTATTCTGCAGATGGCAATGCAGCGTTCTGAATCTCAGTGCCCATCAGAATGATGTTGAGTATATTCTCAGACAGATGGATGTATGTGACGGTTATGACAGCGCTGCACACCATACATCACTTTCACACTGAAGGATGCCACACGGGTCACTGCATGCACGAGAACTGATATCCGTCCCCATGGTTACCAGCTTATGATGACGCGTCCTAACAGAGACACTGAAAGAGAAGAAATCTTGACATCTGCATTTTCCCATCACTCTGTGGAAAGAAAGCAAACAGTCAGACACTAACAGTAGAGTATTGTGGAGGTACCATTGTACTGAATAATTACCATGTTCATGTACCATGTAATTTACATGTCATATTTTCAGTATGACAATGACATTACATTCAATGACTACATATAAAACATGTAAAAGTCCAAAACATCATGGTTTTAATATGGTAAATGTCTCACACTACTGTGGTATATTCTTGGGAGTACCATGTAAATCAGTCATGAATTTTAATTAAAAACGAACAAACATGTTATTAGCATGATGAATTAGCAATAAAGTCCACAGTATTACCATAATAAAAACAAGATGTCCAAAAAAGTAAAAGAAAAAGTCCAATAATAAATAATTATCATGGTACATGTAAAATGGATAGAAAATAAAATAAAAATTCATAAAATAAAAAAATAAAGAATACACCTGGTATTATCATGGTATGTGTAAATAATAATAATAATAATAAATAAAATAAAAAAACAATGAAATTAATTATTATTAATTAATAAGCATGACATTACCACTGTACATGTACAAAACCACTACTAAAATAAAAAATGACTAAAACACAATATTACTATAGTAAACGTAAAAAAAAAAAAAACATCCTCACATCATCATAAATAATCAAAATAAAAAATAATGAATAAACATGATGTTATCATGGTAGATATATAAAAAAAAGATAGTATGAACCAGTTACCATGTCCATAAAAAGCATGGTATTATGGCTTGCCTGTGAAGGATACATCACTTGCAGTAAATAACTGAAATGGAGGAGAGAATAAACACTGGGGGGCAACAGTGTCATGTGGTGTCCTCGCAGCTGTCAGATTGGCTGATTATTCAGTGGATTTCTGATATTCCCGTCAGGGTCTGTCCGCTCTCACGCTCCACGAAGAGCCCGGCTGCAAATAGACAAGTGCTTGAAATGAGTCTCCCCATGATGCTAATTACTGCTCGACTCACAGCTGCAGGATTTCTGCAAAATGATGGTGGTTAAATAAAGCAACAAAATTTATTACTTTAATTCTGTCATGTGTAACACTCTTTACCCATGGTAAACTCACTGTAATTTCCCATAACATATAGCTTTTATAAAACTGCCAGCATTGATACAGAATGCACAGTTACAGGTGTGTTAATAGGCATTTACAAGATTTCATGGAGTTGCATAATACTTAAAACAGTTAGTGTAATGATATTATATAATTGTAATAATAGCACTCAATAGAAAAAACATGCCACGTTAAATAAAAAGGTAATATTAACATGGTGAATTTAAAATAAATAAATAAACAAATAAATGTAAACAAAAATACAAAAACAATATTCTCATGGTATATGTAAACAATGATAATCATCATAAATAAAAAATAAAATAAAAAAATTAAGAAACATGATATTTGCAGTTACAGGTGTGTTAATCGGCA